TGATTCAAAACATCGGATTTCCATTACACTGGGTATCGATGTTTTAAAAGCGCTTTACGACAGTCACGCAGGTGGTCGTCTGGGCGGACGTTAGACCTGTGACAATGTTTCGGACCGCTTCTTTGGACCAGGAGTGAAAAACTTCGTTAACGGCTTCCGTAAGCGGCCTGTCATATGTGTCGAACGCAGACGGATAAGATTTCGCGGAACTAGTATATGCTTGGGGGGTTCCTTACCCATTGGCATATTGTGAAGAAATCTAGGAAGAAAAGTATCGCAAATGTAATGAACGAAGTTTGTGGTACCGACTGTAATGCGAATCGAGGTACAGGGCTTGCGCAGCAATGAAGTAGGTCTTACATGGTTGTAGAAAAAAACTACCATGATGTGTATGCTATACGCGAAGTACCACCAGCGGCACAAACGGCAAGAAAGGGCGTCCAGCTTCCAGTGGATCGGCTGAAACCCTGCGACGGCCGTAGCGATGACTGTGTTTATCAGTCAGTAGTGTCAGAGATCTCAACAACGGGAAGAAACCCTGACTTGCCGCGTTTCACGGTAGGCATCGACTGGCAAGTGATCAGTTAGGAACACCCGTACCTAGATTCACTGCCGCACTGAGTAAATGTGAACAACAAACTCAATCGTGAACATTTCTCCATCACAGGTGTCAACCTAACCGCTACGGAAATCTACCCGAATTCGATGCGAATGTTCAAAATATGTTGAGCCTGAAGCGAGCTGCATCGCTATACCGTTGTGACGTTCCTTGTAATTTTCATATGTGGCAGCACCTTTAATCTCAGTATATGGCAGCATCTTCACTGCCTAGAACAGTCTAGCTAATGAGATGAACTAAAGGTGCGCCAGCTTCTCCGCGCATCGACAAACCCCGTATTCCAGCCTTGCTTGTAGTATTGCGACGCAATCAAGAAGAAACTGCCTCAGTTCCCAGAGCACGTGTGTGCTTGACACGACCAGGAGAATGTCATCTGTACCTAACATCATCGGTCCACCGGCGCACAGTTAAGAAGAAACCGTCTTATCTTTGGAATACATCGTTCGTTATATGGAGACTAACAGTATAGGGTCATCTCTGTTCAGAGGGTTTGCTGATCATGAACAGCGTTTGTGCGTATCTCATATTATTGCCGAAACAAAGCTTTTACTTTGGGATCACTGTAGAATGCCACACTAGCATTACTTGGTTACTGTGGTTGAAGAGTGGGTC